GTGGGGATGAAATGGATGGAGCCATCCTGGGTCACACCTCCAGGTCTATGCATTCTTAAGTGTTTTTTTTACAGCTAACATCTATGGTGAGCACATTTAAAAAAATAAAAAATAAATCTTCTCTTTCCTCCAAACCTACAGCTACTTCTAATCTCATATAACTTCATATAAGGATTATTTATTAAGGGGTGATGTAATTAAACATAAAGAAAAAACCAAAATACCCCAGGATCATTAAGATCTTTAATTTATTGCCAACCTCTTCAGAGAGACTTTGTTGCATTTATTACCAGATTACCCCTCCTTTCTATAAGAGAGGCCCTTATAGTTAGTATAGTAATTAAACATTAGTTCACCATCCGTACACTTCAAGAGAGCCTCCTTAGTTATTAACCCAACTCTTATTTAAAATAAAAAAAGGCTGGGTAGGAGGGGAATACGGTGTGTGTGTGTGTGTGTGTGTGTGTGTGTGTGTGTGTGTGTTGTGTGTGTGTTTGTGTGTGTGTGTGTGTGTGTGTGTGTGTGTGTGTGTGTGTGTGTGTGTGTGTGTGTTGTGTGTGTGTGTGTGTGTGTGTGTGTGTGTGTGTGTGTGGAGGGAAATCTCTCAGAATGATATCCCCTTTAGCGCAATACAGCATCAGCTACACCACTTATGCGACATACAAGAATAGTGTGTGTGACAGACAAAAGATGTCCTGTAGGGGCTGATTGCGCATGGACATAAACGCTAGTAAAGTCTAATCTGACGGGGGAGACCCGCTGTTGCTGACAGGGGGAGATCCGATGCTGCGGACTATTCGACATGCATCTCTGCATGCGGTGAGCGGAACAAAACACACTCTTCAGATATCACACGTAGCTATTTTATTTACCTCTCAAACTACATAAACTATTTATAGATATGTTTTAGTTTTACTGTCGAGTCACTCATTATTGGACCCGCGACTTTGATACTGTCGTGTTGTCAGGAGGGGGAGAGCAGTCCGTTTATTATTCCCGTGTTATTGTAAATTACTGTACACGTTTTTGAATAGTTAATTAATCTACTATAATTAGTTGGTTTAATATCGAATCATATCAGTTTGTTTCAAAGCTCATTAAATAACATAGAAGACCTTTAACCGGCACTTTTCTAATTCTGCCTCGGAAGATTTAAACTGTAACGAACAGGCCGACCGGACAGGAGGGGGGGAGGAGGAGGGGGTTGAGAGGGATGGGGGCTGAGGAGGGGGGTGGGGGCGACAGGGGGGATGTGAAACCTGCTGTAAGGAGGGGGTGGGTTGAGAGGGTGGGGGCTGAGCGGGGTGGGGGCTGAGAAGGGTGGGGGCTGAGAAGGGGGGGGGCTGAGAAGGGTGGGGGCTACCGGTGAGGATGTAACACCTGTATGTGAGGGGGAGGGGGGCTGGCTGAGGGGGGGTGGGGGCTACCGGGGGGATGTAACACCTATACGCGATAACACCTCGAACAAAGGGGCTCATAGCATATCAAAGGGGCTCATTAGCATATCAAAGGGGCTCATTAGCATAATTAGGGGGCGGGACTTAGAAGGTGTGACCTGTCACTTTTTTATGCATACTAATGAGATTGAAGCGGGATTGGTAACACTACTACCAAGTTATAAAGTTTTCCATACATAAACGTGTATCTTACAGTTCCTTTGTGAGAGAATTACGCATAAATCTGTCATATCAAAACATTCTATTGCAGTATTTTATCTGTTTTATATATATATATATATATATATATATATATATATATTTGTTGCACTGTTGGAGGAGCCTGTGACCTATGTTTTTCATTGACATATCTACACTGTAGCTAATGGGCATTTGCCATAAAGCCTTGAAACTTCTTTAAATGATAATTTTCCTCTCAAAGAGACTTCGTTGTACACACACACACACAAAACAGCATTAAATAATGACATGATATTATAATGATAAAAGTACTTACCAGAGTTTTTCCAGATCAGATCCAAATCAAGCCTCATTGTCTCCACCCCAGAGTTCCCGTTAGCCGGTAATTACCGGACTATGACCGGTAAAATATGCTTGTCTACACATAATGTGGAGAAAGAGATCTCCTGTATGGGTTGATTGCGCGTTGATCTGTTGGTAATGCCTCGGGGTTCCGGTGGGCATGTAAACAAATGCATAATGCTGTGCTATACTTTGTGGCCTCATCCCGTTGCATAGCGACGCTTATTGTTTAGGTGTCTTTTAATAAGCAGGTAGTCATATCATTAGCGGAACAAAACACACACTTCAGGTTAGAATATCACACGTAGCTATTTTAATTACCTCTCAAACTACCTAAACTAGTTATAGATATGTTTAGTTTTACTGTCGGGTCACTCATTATTGGATCCGCGAGCTGCATGATACTGGCGTGTTGTCAGGAGAGGGGGAGAGCGCTCCGTTTATTATTCCCGTGTTATTGTAAATTACTGTACACGTTTGAATAGTTAATTAATCTACTATAATTAGTTTGTTTAATATCGAATCATATCAATTTGTTTCAAAGCTCAATAAATAACATAGAAGACCTTTGACCGGCACTTTTCTAATTTTGTCCGGAAGATTTAAACTGTAACGGACATGTTGACCGGACAGGAGGGGGGAGGAGGAGGGGGGGTGGGGGTGGGGGCTGAGAGGGGTTGGGGCGACAGGGAGGATGTGACACCTGTATGTGAGGGGGAGGGGGGGTGGGCTGAGAGGGGTGGGGGCGACAAGGAGGATGTGACACCTGTACGTCATAAGGATATAACGGGCAGGTGCGATATCGCACCTGCATGTTATAACACCTCGAACAAAGGAGGTCATTAGCATATCAAAGAGGTGTGACCTGTCAGTTTTTTATGCATACTAATGAGACGAAAGCGGGATCATTATTACTACTGAAGTGACCCTGGAAAGTTACGTCTTGGCTTGTTTTGTGAGGAAGTGCCACCGGGGCAATGTTGCCCAGTCGCTGTGTCTCATGGATGACGGCGTCAGTGAAAGGCATGCTCTTCCTGTCCTCAACCTGGGCTTGACGACTTCCTATCACCCTGCTCAGCTCTTCCTGGAACTGGTCTAAAAGATTGAATGTTATTTTTAATTGAGATGATCTTTGTGTTGGTAAAGCACATATTGTTGCTTGGACTGTTGCATGAAACCTTTGATCGGATTTTAAGCTCCTTACCTTGTATTTTTGGATACTTGGCCATAAATAGTAGTGCCCATCTCAGTGTAGTTGCTGTTGTGTCAGTGCCAGCAACAAAGAGATTAAGAACCGTCTCCATCAGGTTTTTATCATGGAAGTGACTGTCTGTGATCCCGGATTCCTGCCAAAAAACATAAACAGTTATTTGAACGAATCTGAACCAAAACCTATACATGTTACATATGAGGGAATTTGTTGCTTTGTTGAGGTAGTAGTTGGCAAGCCTTTTTATAATTTAATCAAAGGGCTGACTAGTACTGATGTAGTTATCTGTATTGGAAATTACATTTCAAAATCTCAGAATCTTAATCAGGATATCTGTAAAATACTTTTGATATGAAGATGTCAGTAATTTCCTCTTTCACTTAAAAACATATTCACGATTACATTTTATCATGTTAAACCAAGAATGTTGACCAATCTAGTTTCCCATTTCACATCAACATATTCGTTTTTCATATGTCCAACATATCAAAAAACAATTTTTGGGTAATTGGCCAACATTACCATCATTATATCATTTCTGATATATGGCTCAAATTGCCATGCGTATTTCTGACACGTACATACAATATTAACATTTATTTGACTACTTTTAATTTTGACTTCAGGAAATTCAAATCTCACCAGCTTTAAAATAATTTCAGATATTTTGCATATAATTATTTCTAATACATATGTTTCACTAGTTACAACTGGATAACAGATATTTGAAATGTATTTCTTGATATCTGGGTTTTGATTAAATCTATTCGTTAATTTAATTACTTTAAATTCAGTCAGCTCGGTATTGGCACAGTACACAGAAACATGGCAAAAGAAAATGGACAAAGTAGAAAGTATGGTAATAATTTAGGATTCCTAACTAAGGACATTTCTAAATGAGGACAATTCTTCAATAGCTAACTTGTGATAAAGTTTGGAAACATGTACCCTAATAAAACTCTCAACTGAGAGGAGACAGGCAGTCAGACCTAAGACATCTCTCTAATAAGGAAAGGAAAAAAAACAATTCCCATTGTGTTTTGATTTGATAGAAACAAGGTCGAGGTCTTCAAGTATTCACAAGCTCATTTACCCTGATTTTGCAAACCCTTGAAAATGATTACCTGTGTGTATTATTCAATGGCTCATGGCAATGACATGTTCTTTTAGGAAAGGATTACAACTTTTCCCCAGCTCCCAGAATATAAAATCTCTCTATAACATCTGCAGAGACATTCAACTTATTCAGTCAGAACATACCCTGTACCTTCCCTAATATAGCTTTAACATGGTAACTGTTACCACGGTTTCGCTTCCTTTTTGATTCAAAAACATTTATTTTGTCCATTATTTTCTAACCATGTATAAATAAATTACTTTGTCTAGTTTTTATATCACAAACTGTTATAGAGCACTTAAGCCTTGACATACGGTCATTTAATTCATTTGTCTCGTCAAGTCAGGCTGCTAAATAATTTATTCTTTTTTTATTTGAGACTTTTACATCATTTTTCATCACTGCATTAGTTCTAAGACTTTCAGATGCATGATTTAATTTGTTTCAGCCCACCAGGTGGCAGCATTTCTCCCAAAAAGCAACAAACAACGTTTTTATGCTACTGTGTTAGCAAGCAGTTACCTATCAACATATCCAGTAAACATACATCAACATTATAAAGGATAAAGCCCTGCTGAGCTCTGCCAGGTCAGGGTTGATTTTTAACCAAGGCTTCAAGACGGACAACGAAAATGTCCAAATAGTTGAAGTTAATGTTAGACTGGGAAAAAGAAGCCTCTAGCATCAAGTCAAAGTCAACTTTATTGTCAATCTTCTGTGTGAGATACAGCATTTACAGATACACAGATTCAGCATGATGTTCTGCGCCCTATAATAATAGCACATTTCATTGAAGCTGCCTGGTCTCCTAAAAATAAGGTTTCATAAAAACAAAACCGCTCTTTTGAAACCCCGTTTTGAAGGAACATTTTTTGTCTCGGATTACATCTGTGTTTGATCTTTCACAAACAAGGTTTTACTCAGAGGAAGTGCTGTCTCCGTAAGGAGGTCGTTTGCATAGGATGGTCAAACAAACACTGGACTTTCACGGAGGAGATTGGTGTTCCGTGTAAAACTATTAGTCAACCAAGAACTTATATTTGATTTATCTCCATTACTTTAATAATATAATAAAGTTCTTGTTTTAAACCAAACCATGATCTTTAGCTTAATCTAACCAAGTGGCTTACTTCATTATTGGGAACTTTTTTCCACTAAGCGTGGTAATCATTGTGTTTGTAGATCATTCCATTGGACCTGAAAGGTATCGAGGTAAACTTGTTCCTTTGGGATACTGTTAAGTTTCACTTCACTATTATTCCTTGTTGGCAGTGGAGTCTCTTTTATTATGAGACATTAAGATGAGCATATCAGTGAGCGTTATTAGTAATAAAGACAATTACAAATTGGTTGAAGCTGCTTAAGTAGTGACGCTTGACATTCAAAACTAAAGAGAAAGATGTCTATTAATTTAAATTACATCATTGATATTGAAAATCTGATCTTGGCCTACTTTATCACTACATTTAATATAATGATGTACAACTCAAAATCTTCAATCTTGAACCAACTCGCACCGTTGACTGTTAGAAAAGCAGCATTGTAAAGCTCACACAACAGGAACAGCACACAGTTTATGAGGCGACGGGCTCACGGCAGCGCTCACTATTGGAGTCAGATCCAATTCATCCTCCGAAACTCCTGGAGGAGGAGTAAAACGAAAGTGCTGCAAGAGGCTGGTAAAGAAGAGAAAAATCTCCATTCTTGCCAGACTCTCCCCAGGACACTGCCTGCGACCTGTGAGGGAAAACAAAAGGAATATTTTCAACTCATCTGCAAAATAAGTGAATATTGAGGAGTGATGGCTAAATTCACAAACCTGCTGAAAAAGGCAAGAAGGCATCTCGCTTGACAAACTTCCCATCTTTGTCCAGGAAGTGAGCAGGATAAAAGCTGCTGGGGTGTTCCCACTCAGTCTCATCACACAGGACGGATGTCAAGAGAGGATACACTGTGGTCCCCTGTGGACAATATACAGTATTTTCATTTAGTGACAAGCCACTTAACTCAGCACCCCCCATTTTGAATTATGTATGATTCATTCTTCCAAGTCATCTTGGGTTCTTTAGGTGTTTTATTTTATCCAACCTTCTTAATGAAGTGACCCTGGAAAGTGATGTCTTGGCTCATTTTGTGAGGAAGTGCCATGGGGAGGATGTTAGCCAGTCGCTGGATTTCGTGGATGACGGCATTTGTGAAGTGCAGGTGTTGCCTGTCCTCAACCTGCACTTGACAACCTCCTTTAACCTTGCTTAGCTCCTCCTGGACCTGTTCTGGAAGACCAGATTTTTGTGTCCATTAAGATTATTTTCTTTAGTTGGTGAGCACATATTGTTTCCTGGACTGTTTCTGAAAATTGTGAGGATTCTAAGCTCCTTACCTTGTATTTTTGGATTCTTGGCCATATATAGTAGTGCCCATCTCAGTGTAGTTGCTGTTGTGTCAGTGCCAGCAGTAAAGAGATTAAGAACCGTCTGTATCAGGTTTTTATCATGGAAGTGACTGTCGGTGATTCCGGATTCCTGAAAGTAAAGATAATTCAGGTATTCAAACAAATCTGAACCAAACCTTTGACGTGTTACATAGGAGGGCATTTTTTGTTTTGTTGAGGTAGTAGTTGGCCAGCTTTTTTATCATTTAATCAAAGGGCTGACTAGTACTGATGTAATCATCTCTATTGTAAATTACATCTCAAAATGTCAGAATGTTAATCGGGATATCTGTATATCACTTTTGATATGAAGTCAGTAATTTCCTCTTTCACTTAAAAAACACATCTCAATTAAAATGTAACATGTCGAACAAAGAATGGTGACCAATGCAGTTTCCCATCATCATCATTTTTAATATGTCGAAATATCAACGTATGATTTTTGGTCATTGGCCAACATTGCCATCTTCATTTCTGATATATGGCCCAAATTGCCATGCGTATTTCTGACACACAATATTAACATTTCAACTACTTTATAATTTTGACTATAGGAAATTATTTTTTTTATAACCTAAATTCAAATTTGACCAGCTTTAAATTAATTTGAGATATTTTACGTATAGTTGTTTCAATACAAATGTTTCAGTAGTTACAACTGGAAAACATATCAGATATAATAATAATGGTAATAATCAATAATTATTATTTTCTTTCAAGTCACATTTAATTTTTTGCTATCCAGATTTCCATTTATCTAATCTGTAATGTAAACATATTCATTTCCACTAGTAAAATCAATTGTCAAAAATGTGAATTACTGCTAGTCTATATCATCTTATGGACATGTTGGCTTGGATCTCTATAGTCAGAAAGCAAGAGCTGATTTCTAAAATTTCTATTACTGCTGGTGATTAACTGTTAGAACGAATTGCATTTCCTCCTTTGTCACAAACAACTCAACTGGTCACGGAAAAGGTGTAGACGGGGTAAGTAATGAAATGCTTCCCAACCTCCAGATTTTGCTTTCGGAGCAGAAAGGCGTCCACAAGTCCTCTGCACATCTGTGGATTGAGGGTCTCTTTCAAACGACTAAACAACTGCTGATTACGTTTCTTGCTCTCAGCAATTATCGTGTGAAGTTCCTTTCTGTCAGCAATCCATTTACCGATCCATGGGAACATGTTAAACACCTTTAAAAAAAACAAAAAAACAACAACCTTCGAATCAGTTGCCCCACATTCCTCTATTATGTCTATTAAAATCAAATCTGGATGTCTAAGCTTGATCAAAAATAATAAATGAAATAAGATAAGATAGGACTTTATTTATCCCACAGGAAATTGTTGTGCCAGAGTTACAAAGGTACAATAAACACAGAGGCATAAATGGCACCTGTATTGACGGGGAGCCCAGGAGTTGGATAGATCTGATTGCTCGATGTACCAGTGATGTAAACTCTGCATCATCATATTCAAATCTGCTGCCATAAACAATTGAGCAGATCATATTAGCCACCGCCTGGTATATGGGTTGAGTTGTATCAAAAGCTTCTCCTGGAAAAAGTAAAACAAATAAAAACCACAAATGTTGTCAACCTGTTGCTTATCATGCAGTTGGTTTTAATAAGACACTTACCTTTACTTTTCTTTAACACTTCAATGAGGTAGGTGCATTCCTCAATGATTGTGTCCTCACTAGCCCTCTTGCCCATTCCAAAGTCTCTGAGGTTAGTCATGGCAAAGCGCCTCATCTCTCTCCATGATTCACCGTTGGACCATACAAGTCCTAAAATAAAACCAATATTATGGCCAGACCATGTTTGCTCAATGTTTTCAATTGTGGAATGCGTCCTGATTTGCTGTTATCCAGCACCAAAAACAATAAAACTTTGCTAAAAATGTAACGGAACAGGGAGGTTATTTAAAAAAAGAAAACGTTCCTCACCATGGCCTCCACTAGTTTCTTTTGTTATTTGCGTTGAATATCTGTCACCAAACTCATCTGCATAGTTGACAAGTGCCTCCTTCACAGTTTTGTATCCAGCCAGGATCACCACTTTTTGGGGTCCCAAATGCACTGTGAAAACGGATCCATATTTCTTGGAAAGCTACAAAAAACAAGGGCATCATCATATAATCTTTTATTTTTTTTAAGAATAATTAATCAGAAGACCAACAATGTGCTATCTGCAGGGCACATATAACATAACACCCCTAAAGAAATGAACATTAGTTCAATCATTTCCTCACCTCCATAAATGTGTGGTAGGGTCTCTTGAGGTCAAGCTGCAGCAGGTTCCCAAGTAGGGGAAGTGGTTTTGGACCTGGAGGTCCCTTCCCTTCATCCTGGGAGCTGAAGCTGGAGGAGGAGAGAATGTAGACGAGCAGCAGGACAACCAGAGCTCCAAACAGGGAGATGGAACTGAAAGACTGGAGAAACAGATCCAATAGCGCCATGATTTCAAAAGAAAAAGCTTCCTTCTTTCTTTTGGAGCTTGTGGTATGGAAACAGCCCAGGCGGGTAATGTGCTTATCTATTCATCTGATGGTCAAAGGGCAATCCCACTCCCTGCAGCCAACACACCCAGTGTCATTGGGCAGGACACAAACATTAAATTACTCATTTAGCAGGCATGTCTATGATATTTAATCAGAATCAGAATGCCTTTATCCGTCCCTGTTACGTGCCGCAGTTGGTGCTTGTGTGTGTGTGTGTGTGCTTTTGTGTGTGTCTCTCTCTCCCTGATTGTCTCCAGGTGCAGCCTCTCCCCAGGTGCTCCCAATCCCCAATCAGGGCCTCCTTAAAGGACCTGAGGAAGGCTGCAGTGGCCTCTCTCTCCTTCTCCTCTGGCTGCATGTGTGCAGCATGTCTCTGTCTCTGTGTGAGGCCTGTGTTCTTCTGAAGTGTTAGGAGATGTGCTCCAGTTTGTTCGTGTATTGTTTTATTTTGGTTTGCTTTGCAAGTTGGCTAGTGAGCCCTTTCTATTTATCCATTAAAACCTCACTTTGTGGCTTTCTATCTCAGTTTCCTCTCCTTTTTTCTCTCTCCTGGTTATTTCATTATGTTGTTACTTCCCTCTGGTTCCCCTAGCCCAGTAGGGAACGTAACATGGGGGCTCGTCCGATCTTTGAGACAAAGAGTGAGTATTTGTTGTTTAGTGTGATTGTGTTTGGTGGTGAGCAGTAGTGTGTAGCATTGGCTGAAGTCTCTTACTGTTGAACAGCTTCCTCAGTTTAGACAGCGGAGTGTCTCGCTGGGCTGAATCAGTCCTTCCTTCAGGCACTCATTTATTATTTTGCCTTTTTTATTTTCGGGGTAATCCTGGGTGGGGCTGTAGTCCCTGTTGGGGGGCAGGCGTTTCAGGGTTTCGGCCGCTGATGTTTGCCTTTAAAGTCGCCTCGAGCCCGGCACGCTCCAGAAGATAGTTAGGTAAGTTGTGGTAGGCAGGATCTGGGGAAGTTTGTTATTTGGAAGACTAGAGTCCATTTTTGTGTAGCCTCAGATATTTTGCCTGTTGAGTGAGGTGATCTAATTGTAGCTGGCAAGTAGTTGCAAATAAGTTTGTGTTTAGTATGGCCTCCCTTGTGTTGGGTGAGTCCTCTCATACTGGTTCTAAATTAGATGCCAGGTTGAAAGTGAGGTTAGCTCGTCTACAGTGGGAGAAGGAGGAGCGTGAGCGAGAGTTTCAGCTCAGGAGGGAGCTGGAGATCAGGAGGCTAGATGCAGACACAGCTTTCAGGATGCCTCAGCTAGAGCTGCAGACGGGTTCAGTTGGGTCCTCTTCGGGTACACAACCATTGTCAGGTTCTGATGCTCCTTTTGATGTTGGTAACAACATTCAGCTGGTTCCAGTATTTCGTGAGTCTGAAGTTGAGTCATACTTTGTTGTGTTTGAGCGCATTGCTGCTGCTTTGCACTGGCCCAAAGATGTGTGGGCCTTACTGTTACAGTGCAAGCTAGTTGGTAAGGCTCCGATGGTTTGCTCTTCTCTGCCTGTTGAAGATAGTATTGTGTACGAAAAAGTTAAATGCGCTATTCTCAAAGTGTATGAGCTTGAGCCTGAGGCTTATAGACAGTGTTTTTGTGGCCTAAAGAAAACACCTGGCCAAACTTTTGTAGACTTTGCAATCGAGAAGAGCAAGCTATTCAACGGATGGTGTAAGGCATCAAAGGCTGACGACTTAACTTCAGTTTGTGATCTCATAGTGCTGGAGGAGTTTAAAAACTGTGTCCCAGAACATACTGTTTTAAATGAACGAAAAAGAACCTCCTTGCAGCAGGCTGCCACTATGGCGGATGAGCTGGTGTTAATGCACAGTGGTGTTTTGGCTCAGAGCGATTCTCCTCATCGTGTTGGTTTCCGGAAAGCTCGTAACAGGCGTGCCACACATGCTCACTCTGTTTCTCTTCCAGGACCCAAGAAAAAGAGATTGTGTTTCTTTTGTCTTGACCCTGGTCATCTAGTGGCAGAGTGTGTAGCTCGGAAGAAGCAGGTGGCAGCTTCCAAGCGGTCTGTGGAAAAGCCAAGAGACCAGCACCCAGTTGAGATGCGACAGAGTGGTGAGTTGCAGTTAAGTTCTGCGTCCGTCTGTGACAGTGCTGTGGGTGTTCCCGTCTCTGAAGCGGTGGCTGTGGACCTGGCTCAGAGCAATGGGGATCTGTGTTCAGTGAGTGATGTGTGTGTTCCATGTGATGTGTGTGTTGCTCCGGTGTTGGCTGCTTGTGGGCAGTATAACGTGTGTTTTATGGGGGGGGGGGTGTTACGTGCCGCAGTTGGTGCTTGCGTGTGCTTTTGTGTCTCTCTCTCTCCCTGATTGTCTCCAGGTGCAGCCTCTCCCCAGGTGCTCCCAATCCCCAATCAGGGCCTCCTTAAAGGACCTGAGGAAGGCTGCAGTGGCCTCTCTCTCCTTCTCCTCTGGCTGCATGTGTGCAGCATGTCTCTGTCTCTGTGTGAGGCCTGTGTTCTTCTGAAGTGTTAGGAGATGTGCTCCAGTTTGTTCGTGTATTGTTTTATTTTGGTTTGCTTTGCAAGTTGGCTAGTGAGCCCTTTCTATTTATCCATTAAAACCTCACTTTGTGGCTTTATATCTCAGTTTCCTCTCCTTTTTTCTCTCTCCTGGTTATTTCATTATGTTGTTACTTCCCTCTGGTTCCCCTAGCCCAGTAGGGAACGTAACAGTCCCACAAAGGCAACATGTACATTTGTTACAGCAGAAAAGAGCCAAAGACAGCTTAATATTAACTAAGAAGCATGCACAAAAAATAAAAATATATTAAAGATAATTTGTTTTTAAAGAAATGTATGTAAGTTGCTTTGGGGAAAAGCATCAGCTAACTAACTTGTAATGTACCTTTTTAGAAAGAGTGTACTTTTATTTTTTGATTGGTTTACTGATTTCTTATCTTCAATGTCATGTGATCTGAAGAAGAGAGTTTAATGGAACAATAAAGTTAAATCTCGTATTGACAGATTCTTCTGATATGCATATATATATATATATATATATATATATGTACATGAAAATGATAATGCATTTTTCAGCCAAAATGAAACCAACTTGCGAACGTGTGGACCAAATCTCTCACAGATGCTGTTTTCAGTTTAATTGTATTTATATAGCGCTAAACAGTCATAGAAGCTATCTCAAGGCACTTTTCATAAAGAGCGGTCTACACAGTAGCCTTTCGATCGTACATTACAATGTTTACAGACCTTAAAACATTGTTGCTCACCTTTCTGGCTTTCATTTGGCAAGTTTTTTAAATTTAGGATAGGTTATGGCATCCAAACTTAGGATTCCTAACTAAGGACATTTCTAAGTTAGGACAATTCTTCAATAGCTAACTTGTGATAAAGTTTGGAAACATGTACCCTAATAAAACTCTCAACTGAGAGGAGACAGGCAGTCAGACCTAAGACATCTCTCTAATAAGGAAAGGAAAAAAAACAATTCCCATTGTGTTTACTGCTCGTACAGATTTGATAGAAACAAGGTCGAGGTCTTCAAGTATTCACAAGCTCATTTACCCTGATTTTGCAAACCCTTGAAAATGATTACCTGTGTGTATTATTCAATGGCTCATGGCAATGACATGTTCTTTTAGGAAAGGATTACAACTTTTCCCCAGCTCCCAGAATATAAAATCTCTTTATAACATCTGCAGAGACATTCAACTTATTCAGTCAGAACATACCCTGTACCTTCCCTAATATAGCTTTAACATGGTAACTGTTACCACGGTTTCGCTTCCTTTTTGATTCAAAAACATTTATTGTGTCCATTATTTTCTAACCATGTATAAATAAATTACTTTGTCTAGTTTTTATATCACAAACTGTTATAGAGCACTTAAGCCTTGACATACGGTCATTTAATTCATTTGTCTCGTCAAGTCAGGCTGCTAAATAATTTATTCTTTTTTTATTTGAGACTTTTACATCATTTTTCATCACTGCATTAGTTCTAAGACTTTCAGATGCATGATTTAATTTGTTTCAGCCCACCAGGTGGCAGATTTCTTTAATCAGAGGAAGTGCTGTCTCCGTAAGGAGGTCGTTTGCATAGGATGGTCAAACAAACACTGGACTTTCACGGAGGAGATTGGTGTTCCGTGTAAAACTATTAATCAACCAAGAACTTATATTTGATTTATCTCCATTACTTTAATAATATAATAAAGTTCTTGTTTTAAGCCAAACCATGATCTTTAGCTTAATCTAACCAAGTGGCTTACTTAACCTGTTTCACGCCTTCCCCCCGGTACCGGGCGGATAAACGCGTCATTTGCAGGAAACAACGTCTAAGGAATCTTAATATTGAATAAAACTATGAATGTGTTATATCCATGTAACGGGAAGAAACTCAGCTAACTGATCTTTTTAATTTTTTTTTTCAAAAAAACCCCACAATGCTAGCACTCAGCCTCTGAATTAGCCTCGACGAAAAAACGTAACCTACAAAGGCACATAAACTCACTCAGAACTCCCTTATTACTTATCCTAGATGCACAACCAAACACTCTTTTTTGGTGTCCTGGAGACACTGAATCTACCGGTGCCCACCTCAACACTCAGTGATAAACATTCGCGACGCTATCAACGAAAGCGTACATCATCACATGTGGAGCCAAGAAGCTAAACATGTAAATATGGCTTACCTTGGTCAAAAGTGGTCTTCAATGGCATTAAAACGATAAAAAAACGATGCTGCAGTTAATCCATAGGTTCATCCTATGTGTCTGTGCCTTCTTTGAAATTATTTCTGATAATCCATAAGCAATACAACTGCGTTTTAGTTTCCAAACTCCAGAAGGAGACATTCCTCCAGTTTAGTTTCGCTTTCCACACGCGAAGCGGCCACATTTTTTCCTTACAATGTATGTGTATGTGAGTCTCCTCCTTCGATTCTATTGGCTCTAACGGTCACAAGGGTATGTCAACCAACCAGATCGAGCAAGGGGGGCCAGAGATAGGTCAAATCCACCCAAATGACCCCAGATGGCCCAGTTTTTGGCTAAATCTCTCTAAAAAGGTCAAATTTCACTTGTTTTGCATCAATCTTGATACAGGGTACTTATTATATGTTGTACTTTGGATTCCTAAAGCTTTTAGTCTACTAACCCATCATCCAAGGGTAGTTTTCACTATCTGTAAAAAATAAGTTTTGGA